AGAAGTAGACAGAGCGAATACATGCACCAACTTGTATTTGAACTGACGTTTCAAAACTTTCTTTTTTTCCTCATCAGAGTAATGTGTTGACTGTTCCTGCTGGCCTTGATTGCTTCCGCCTTTACATCTACCTGGTATTATATTCCTGCTCGACGCGGGAACTATGACCTGCCCGTTCGCCGACGAGTAGCCTTGGCCGTCGTCAACCAGCCAGTAATACCATTCTGTCCATGCCATGCGCCGCTGTGCAGCTGCTGGTTGGACCCTACGGGACGAATGGGTTCCGTAGAAACGATCGATGAGCGCCCCTCTACCGAGGCGCCGAGACCTGCCGAGTATTGACCTGTCGGGAATATACAATGGTAGGGGGACGCTCACCGGTCTTTCTAACGGAACTCACTCTTTCCGTTGTGCCTTACGGGCTCTCTCTCTCTCTCGAGCACAACCAGCAGCCGCACAGCGGCACATGATATATAGGCAGAGTGCTATTACGGACGAAAGCAAAGGAGACTGGAATGGCCACTTCTGGCTTATTAACTGTCTTCAGCCAATCATACCCAACCCCGCAGTGTGGAACACATTTGGCTCGATCCCGTGACCTGTTGGTTTAGAAGTCAACGCCTCTACCCACTGAGCCACGAGCCCGTTGCCCTGTCGGCTTCGATCGGAATATACAATGGTAGGGGGCGATCACCGATCGTTCTTACGGAACTCACTCGTTCCGCGGGTGGCCTTCTAACTAACAGGTCGCGAGTTCCAGCCTCGGGGGTTCCACACTTCGAAGTTGGGTATGACGGGCTGACGGCGACTAATAAGCCAGAAATGGCCATTCCAGTCTCCCTTGTCTTTGTCGGTAATGCCATTCTGCCTATGTATCATGCGCTGCTGTGCGGCTGCTGGTTGGGCTCGAGAGAGAGCACAAAGGGACGAGTGGCTTCCGTAGAAACGATCGATAAGCGCCCCTAAATAACCTACTCACGCCAGGATGCGTCTGCACAAATGATCTCCCACAGAATTTACCACTTATGTAGCATAAAAATCCCCTTCCTTTTTCAACTACCTTATAAACTCAAGTACATTTTATGGAAAACGTACATAAAAGCCTACTTTTGTACTCACTTCGTTGCAAATTACGTCTTTTCAAAACCGCGAAATCTCCAATTTTACTGCATTGCATCACAACACTAATTTATGTCTCTTATAAAACGGACAACAGGTCAGCATCCATTAAAAATTCTATAAGCACCATTTGACCACTTCTAGATGAATGTGTAGAAGTGAATGACTTTTTACACGAAAAGTACACAGTTTGCGGATTTGATACCGCGAATGCAAATGCGACGGCAGGTGTCGTTTAAAAATATCAACGAATTTAGAACGATTTATTTACAATCAAATGATCCTACTTCTTCAGGTATAAAATTCCAAGGAATAAAGGAAAAAATATTTTTATGCGCGGATTCTCTAAAATATATTGCAGTCTATAGTGGCATGAAAAATAAATGTAAAAAATTCATTTCAAGTAAGTATACCTTTCATCTGGAAGGCAGTTTCCGCAGTTTTCAGTCCGTTCCGCCAATCGATAAGTAGTATAACTGCTGAGGACGGCTAATAAGCCAAAAATGGCCATTCCAGTCTCCCTTGTCTTTGTCGGTAATAACATTCTATCATCAACTACGTCAGACGAGCTTATCACTCCCACGTGACTCAGTGGTTAAAGGCGTGGACTTCTAACTAACAGGTCGCGAGTTCCAGCCTCGGGTGTTCCGCACTTCGAGGTTGGGCATGACTGGCTGACGACGGCTAATAAGCCAGAAATGGCCATTCCAGTCTCCCTTGCCTTTGTCGGTAATACCATACTGCCTTTATCATGCGCCGCTGTGCGGCTGCTGGTTGGGCTCGAGAGAGAGCCCGTAAGGCACGACGGGACGAGGGATTTCCGTAAGAGCGATCGGTTAACGCCCCTCTCCCGGGACGCCGAGACCAGCCGAGTATTGACCTGTCGGCTGTCGTCAGATGACGGTCATTGCATCATGTCTGTGGCAGGAGTCGTGTGAACCGGTGGGATACATGAGGGAGTGAGTGCTCACGCTCAGTTTCTCGACTGCCTGACAGCCCAAGTGGAGATTCGCATTCCGGACCAGCAGTGAACCAGAATTTCGGGTAGCAGGATAGATGAGTACTGGCATAGTAGGACAACCAATAGGAATCGAGTTACCCGGCTCGCTCGCTGTTTGTTGATACCGGCGGATTAGAGCTTCGTGCCATGTTGTCCGCACAGACTCCGTGGCATTTATATCAAGCACTTTCACGAGCTTCCATCAGTAGTTCATGGGAGGTCCCACTTGCCATCTGGATCACTTATACTGATTGTTTGTTCCAGTGCTTTAGCTCATGAACTTAGATGCGGTAACGGTATGGAGAAGGATCCTACTTTACTGTCGGTAGACTGTGGATCGTGTCGTACGTGGTTGGGGATAAGGGGGATTTTACGTGTGGGATGGCACACTAGACATTAAGCTGACGAAATGCAAGAAAACACCGAAATTGTTTGGATTTCTCCCGAAAGACTCATCGTAGGCTTTCGTACGGCAACGGAAATGAGCGCGGTAATTAAAAAGAGACAGAAAGTAAACTTCAAAAAATAGAGGAGTTCGAGTGGTGGGTTGAAGTCATGGCAACTGATTGTTATTGGCAGTGTAATGCCTGCAAATGCTTGCGAATTGATGCCGAGATAAAAGCCGATATGACGTGATCCACACTCTGCCGTCAGTTAAGTGGGGTCCTTCTCCATACTGTTGCCCTAGATGCAAGACAGCTGTGGCACACAAGTTTGGTTTGGTCGCTTTTGGTTACCCGCGTGCAAGAACTTACTCCTCCGTGTCTTGACGGTTCTATCGTTGCTTGTCCTCGACAGCGTCCAAGTCCGCTTATTTCGTGGCAGATTGGCGAGGATAATGTATATGATCGGGGGTCAAAAAGAGCAACCGTTGGAGCGTGTCCTTCGGGAATGGTGGGAATACGGGTGGGCCCTCATATAAGCGCACTGGAGCTACTTTAAAAGGAAACCACGCCATGGAGGTCCCGTGTCCGGCAGAGCAGTGTAAGCCTACGTGCACGGAGTACAGTATCACCTTTGATCTGGGCTGAACAACGCGGGCCTAAAAGAGACATAGGGCGTAAAGGAGTAGGTCGTGCCTCGAAGTTTTCGGTTTGGTACCTTAACATGACGCTATTTTGGGCGGTGGCAATATGCATAGGAAGGCGCCTCTCGTTTCCTCTCAAATGCGGACAAATCTTTCGTCTTCTTATAAAGAATTATGTGTAGGGGATGTATAACAATGAGTCCATATGCAAAATAGCATCACCGACAAAGACAAAGGGGACTGAATTTGCCATTTCTGGCTTATTAGTCGTCGTCAGCCAGTCATACCCAATTATGCGATGTGGAACACCCGCCTCGAGCCCAACCAGCAGCTACACAGCGGTGCATGATATAGGCAGTATGTGATTACCGACAAAAACAAGGGAGACCGGAGGGACCATTTCTGTCGTCCTGCCGGACTTAGAGTCGTCGAATGAAGTGACTGGATTCCAGCCAAAAACTCTACCGAACAACGCTACGTTGCTAAATATAGTAAGTAGTTCTTGATACTAACCCTACCCCGGTCATATACTTTATCCTTACCCGTGACTTCCCTTTTTTAAGCTCAATTCCACTGTTCGGCACCCGTTGACACACCGGCAGGAAGACTTACGGATGCTCCAGACTAGGCCTGTAGGCAGCAGTGATACCACCGCATGTACTGTCAATTTATCACAGTGCAAAACTGGGCTGCTTGTCACCGAGGCCTACATCAGCTCGACACTGATGGTATCGCAGCTTTTCCTTCCAGCCCAGCTGGCTTACCCGTCCCCGCCGCCGCCGCCGCCGCTCAACTCTGCGCTCCGACTTCATGCCTTGGCGATGCCTGCAGCCATCAATTTCCACGACTACTCTGACTCGCGCCCGCGCGTAGAGGATGCTTCTTTGTCTACTTGTGTATGGCCCGTGTCATCCCGAGTTCTTTGTTTGCCACGCGTAGCTGCCACCAAGGTGACTCGTGTGCGCCCCATCTCCGCTGCCGCCTCCCGCCTCACTTGCGATGCTTTCTGGGAGCGGGTCGCCTTAACTGCAGAAGGAGTAATTTCTCCTTGTCGCTCTCTCCCTCTCTCTCTCTTTGTGTATAGTGTCCTCTTGAAGGAACAGTCGGGGTGCGTATCAGGGGGACGAAAACAGGCGAGGTCACGTCATCTCGAATTAGCGGGGGTTACTCATCCGCTTCTGTCGCACACGCATCCCTCCCCCCCCCGCCCCAACCGTCTCAACGTCCCCCCCCTAACTTCGGTCCTGTTGCTCGCAGGCGCCAAGGCGGGGAGGGGGGGGGGAGAAGGGAAGGGAAGAAGTACACTTACGACTTGATCGCGAATTAAGAGGTCGTCAGGTAATTTGTGCGTGGAGTGCGCATGCACCCGGGTTCTCCTAGGCGTCAGCTGTGGCCTCTGATTCTGGTCGCCGGAAATTCCGATGTTCGGCCGTGATTACGAAACCCTGGAGTAAGCCGCTAGTAGTGGGAAATTTGGGAGGCTGCGAGTGATCAAAAGACACCATTTACACCCCCAGTGTGACTTTCGCGTCAAATTCCTGCGCGTGTACTAGAAAGAAACCGGAAAAGTGAATTGGAACCTACATAGGGAACGGTGGGTCACATGAGCATCAGCGACCAACCCAATGACAGAAAAGGGCGTCTCAGTATCCCACTCCTCTCGTTCTTAACTGTATCCCTACCGTTGGCTTCAACACGACACGGTCTCTGGGGACCATAGAACCCGGGATCCATGGCAGAATTGACCGTCGTATTCAGCACTGCAGTCAGATCAATTAGCTGGATGCTGTTACTGTGCGAGTTTAAACACCTCGGAACCAAGGGCAATGGTTCGCCAGGATACATGCGATGGATTCATAAGTGACCGAGCAGGCCGATGTGTGACGTGAAGGTGTAGTCGCAATGAAGACAGGTTGGAGTCGAGTCCGCATCGGGGGTTATGCGAGCGGCGAGAAGGTTCTCATCGGTGGTGAGAATGGAAGGGATGGTATTCTTCGCCGCAAAACGTTCTGACAATAATGAGTGACAGCGACGGCTGGAGGCACCGAGAGGTTGTCGACCGGTGGTGATGGTGGTTGCTGTCATGGCCGCCATGATGGTTGCAGCGTTGGAGCTGTCATGTTGTTGTTGTTGTTGTTGTTGTTGTTGTTGTTGTTGTTGTTGTTGTTGTTGTTGTTGTCCGATTGGGCTGATCCGTACGCAGAATGTCCGTAGACAGCGAGAACACGATGGAATGGGTTGGATGTTGTGAGTGGAAGACTCCTGACGCTTGTGAGCCGTCCTTATGCAGTTAGCATCGGCAATCCAGTTGCCTTCGTAGATTACTGTCCTAGCATTCATTGGTTAATCCCAGGCCGGTCGATCCTGGGCGAGGTTCTCCTACAGTGAGTGTCCTATCTCATGGAATGTTGGCTGAAATTCTGAAATGCTTTTTCGATTGGGGAGGACTACTTGGTCGCGGTTGTAATACTGATTAACTTAAAGCATACTCTTATAACATTTCGGACTCGGCAGGATGTCGGCTTTTAAATGCACTTCTATTCAATCACCTGTAGAAAGCGTGCTCGGTATAAAAATGACTACTTAAGTAGCATGTATTTTTCCCATTAATTTTCGATGGTCTTGAAATTCAAATATATTTCATAGAAATCATAAATAAAAATATGCTTTCTTTTAGTCACTCAATAGAGAATCACGTCTTCCTTATATTTTATACTTAAGAAAGGAGGCCACAATTCCCGCGAGAGCTGACAACGAACGGGCCGCGAACTTCTTGAGTCATGATTTTGTGACCTCCGGCAGATTAGAAAACGCAATGACCTCCAGTTCCCATGCGGACGAACAAGCAGTCTGACGATGAATGCGAGAACTTCTAATCACGTTGGGTGTACGGTGGCGTGGCAACAGCATCTTGTAAATGCCGCATGCTCTGTGCGTCGGCCAGGTAGGTTGGAGATAGAATTACAAAATGTCTGATGAACAAACTTCTTGTTCCAGAGCTCGTATGTCAGTCTTCTGAACCTAGGTCTGGACCGTAGGACTGAATACGATAGTTGAGCTGGTAAGGTAGGGATTCACCTCCGGTCGACGGCAATCGTGAGTACTCGTTGTTGCATCGCACATCTCCTACGCAACATCTGCCGCTCCGTCTTCCAGGCTGCAAATACTCTATTGTTGACGGACTCTCTACTATCCCCTGTAACGGATGGACCGAAGTCCATCAGCCATAGCTGCCTAGGCATATACTACTGACTGCCTGTCGGTAGTTTATGAACACTACTCGGTTATTCCACCGTGTATGGTGGATTTCGACTAGAATATTCATATCAAATTTCAGTCTGAGCCTATAGGTCTCAAATAGACTGATCTGCCTCAAGTTACCGACAAATTTCTGGAAAATGTTAAAGCCACAAGTTCTCACATTATATTTGCACACAAGTAACTGCGATTTTCTTATACGGAGGGCTCTGTGGGCAGTTTTGGTAAGTCTTCTAAAAGTTAGATAGAAGTAGAAGTATATATTAAACTAGCCGCCCAATTCCAGGGTTGCGGGATTTCTGCGAAGCCGTCCCCTGCATGCATCCATCTACACTTTTGGACACCATAAAATACAAGGTTTGCAAAAAAAACATCCGCAAACATAATCAGGCTACATACTGGCCGGCGTTATGTACTGAATTCATCGACTCTTCCCTTACTGTAATACACGGGAGAATGTTATTACCGACAAGGACAAGGGAGACTGGAATGGCCATTTTCGCCTTGTTAGCCGTCGTCAGCGAATCATACCCACCCCCGAAGTTTTGAACACCTGGGGCTCGAACTCGCGACCTGTTAGTTAGAAGTCCAAAGCCTCTAACCAACGAACCAAGCGCTCGTTGTCCAGTCGGTTTTGATCGGGAATATACAAAGGGGGCACTCACCGGTCGTTCTTACGGAACTCGCTCGTTCCGTTGTGCCTTACAAGCTCTCTCTCTCTCTCTCTCTCTCGAGCCCAACCAGCAGCCGCACAGCGGCGCATGATATAGGCAGAATAGCATTACCGACAAAGACAAGGGAGACTGGAATGGCCACTTCTGGCTTATTGGCCGTCGTCAGCCAGTCATACCCAACCCCGAAGTATGAAACACCCGAGGCTGGAACTCGCGACCTGTTAGTTAGAAGGGGGTGTTAATTGTACGCCTTGGGTTTCCTCTCGCGCGATCCAACTATTGGTTATTTAATCAGGGAATCTTCGCTGACAGGTAGAATGGGCTTTCATGTCTGCCTTGAAATGTTTAAAAGTGGTTGCATCACTGATACCCACCAACGGCTTCTCTTCAAGGCGTTCCACTCAGAGGCGAAATTAATAATCAGTCTGTAAAACAGACTGTTCAACTAAATCATATAGGGGAACATGCATTCGCACACTCCAGAAACTGACCTAAGCCTTACTCAGTAAATGCGTTGGCGACGGCTAATAAGCTAGAAATGGCCATTCCAGTCTCCCTTGTCTTTGTCGGTACTACCATTCTGCCTATAGCATGCGCCGCTGTGCGGCTGCTGGTTGGGCTTGAGAGAGAGCACGTAAGACAAAACGGAACGAGTGAGTTCCGTAAGAACGATCGGTGAGCGCCCCTTCAGCACAATACACGGGAGGGCAGAATAGCAGATAGGGTAAGGATATTGTATGTAACCTCACTGGGAAAAGTGTAGTTAACTGCAACGTTAACGGCAACCGCTGTCATGCATGTAATGGGTAATCATAACTCCTAACTCCAAAACATTTGAGTCCAACACGGATGCGACCGTTACCCTAGCGGAGGCCTCAAAGTCCGAACGTTAGCCCTAAAACTAATCACTGGCCCCTCTAACCCTCGTCCTGATCCCAATTCTAACCCTAAACCAAAACCCCAACCATACCCCAAACCCCAAATCAAAGCCATTACCTAAGCTAGAATAACCCTAGTCCTAAGAAGAGCCTAAGTCCCGTTGGACGTAGACTTAACCCAAACTTTGATCCTTATATGGGCACCTTTAGGGTCATTAACGCTAGTGATGGTGAGAATCTAAACATCGTATAACTGCCGAATACCAGTTAAACCGTTATGAATTACATCTATCTAAAAAAAGATAGGAAGGTACATTTTTGAACTACTATCCACGGGAGGTTACAAACCCTACTCTCGCAACAGAGAAAACCAGAGGAAATTGAAGCCAAATTTTGATGTAACAACCTGCCGAAATCAACCCCTGTCATCTTGTGCGAAACTAAATACACAAATGCCAAACGTTCTTCTGAAAATGCATTCTGTCGAAAAAATGCCAGTAGAAGACGTTTTTTAATGAAGGAGGATTGCGGAGATAAGTAATTCTATGCCTAAACTAACCTTCACTCATGCGGTTAGATCCTATGTACATGAAAGGAGAGTGGAGTCGACGATTAAGCGCACTTTCGCCACTATAAATAATCTCACGAGCTTGACGCTATCATGGTGCACCAAAAGCCGTGGGTTGAAAGGTTCCTAACTGACGGGATAACGTGGACCTCGCAGTCGGTCCAGGGTTGTGTTTGTGTAGCGCGGCTGACTGACGGTCTGAGGGTCAGGCTACAATGATTCCTTCTTAATGTGGCCTTTTTGGCACTCAGAATCCGTAGGAGGCGAGCACGCCTAGGAGCGACTCCGTCCGCGCCAACCACCTGCTCCCTCTCCTCCCTCCGGTCTTCTTGACTCTGTATTGACACCGGGCTCAGATGAGGGTGGAGGAAGGGGTGCGGTAGATGCAGCGCAAGTCGGCCACCCTTATAAAATAATCCACGCAGCAGTCATCGTCCCTGCATCACCATGCTGTGGAGCACTCGGTGGACATCGTTGGCAACGACGATCTACCTGTCACATGATCTTGCTGATACCTGATTGGATCATTAAGTTTTTGATCAGCAGGTTTACGTGCTTGCGCCCTATAAGTATACTGTTGGGCTGGATTCTGAAATTTGTTTTAATTTCGAAAAGATTACTTAAACATGGTTGTAATATCAGTTATCCAGCAGCATAATCCTAGGATATTGCAATCACGGCGAAATGTCGGCATTTGAATTAGCTCCTTTCCGGCCGTCTGCAAAAACTACACTATTTAAAAATGACCACATAAGTAGCAGAAATTTTTCCCATTGATAATCGATGCCCTTATGTATTCAATTATATTTTAAGGGAAACGGGCACAAAACATCATTTCTCGTGCTCATTTGGTAGCAGACCACGCCTTCTCTAGATTTTTTATCCTCTAGTTTTAAAAAGGTTTCTGTCGCTTCTTAACTTCCTCAGAAATTATCTACGTAGTTGAAGTAGATCAGTTTATTCAATGTCCATAGGCACAGACCGAGAATTTTATGTATGAGAAGCTGTAAGACCTTGTAACACCCGTTTACACAGCATCGCGTCAGCATGTTCTTGTAAAGCACGCAACCTGATCCGGATGCACTGGGCAGTTTTACGAGTCCTTAGTGCCATCTATCTAACAAAGTAGATAAACAGTAGTATTCATTTGAGAGAGGCTATACGACATGTAGATTGGATGCACTGAGCGCAAGTGCAACGTTAAGTGGGGCAAAAGTTTTTCAAAATCGAGAAAGTTTCTGAAGAGCGAACTATACTCTCTTTTCAAGTAGAAAATTTAAATAAGGCACAATTTTCCCTTAAAAGAGTACAAGGAAAAATATTTATATGCACTTTTTTCTGAAATATCACTGAATATATGCGGGCATCGGAAGTCAATGGAAAAATTGCACTACTTAAGTAGTCATTTTTTATGGAATGGAGTTTTCGTAGGCAGCCGAGAAGAAGTTCATTCAAAAGCCGTTATCCTGCACTGATTGAAATATCATGGGATTATGCTGCATGGTAATTGATATCACAACCCTACCTAAGTAATCTTTTCAAATAAAAGACATATTCCAGAATTCTGAGTCACGTTTCACGTGTATGTCCGTAAAATGTTAGTTAGCGGATTACGATCTGTCAGTGGGTCTGCCGGCGTTCCCGTGTCAATTTCGAAGTTGAAAAATTGTCTGATTCTAGTTTGTCTACCTGAATTAAATTTTTCGGGACAATCTACTGAAATAAGAATGCAGAGTCAATATGAAAGCTTGAGTCTAATTTCATCAACTTCAGCGCATGACCAGGGTACGCAGTGATTGCTCAAATTATCCAAATTGCTAATTTTGATATGGAAACTAAATGAAACCCGGGTCGCATTTTTGGGAAAACGGACAAGCTACTTACAACACACAAGTAGCCTGCTCACGGATGCCAGGCGTGCCGTAAAGACCCCTGAAGCCTCGCCCTTTTTTCTCCTGTCAG